CCAGAAAGACCAACAATGTGATTAGATGGTTGGAACTTTGAGCCAACTCAATCTTCTAGGAGAGAAAAGATTAGAGATTGAGGCCAGTTGCATATTCAGTCAATCATGCCTATCAACCGTCTTCCTCCGCCAAAAAAAAAAATTCTGGACACCCAAGCTCAGTAGAGTTTCTTGGCTGGTGAACACATCAATGTGCTAGAAAGGTGATGACACAGCAGGTGGTCATAGATACTCTGCATTCAGAACCTTCCCAGATTCCATGCTGTGTTATCTTTAATTAGTAAAGATTTGTATCCTTTCTAATAAAACTATCATCATAAACTTAGTTATATGAATGACTTGTTTCAGCAATTACTGAACCCAAAAGAGTCAAACAAACCTTAAAACTTGCAGCCAGTTGGTCAGAAGTGCATGTGGCCTGGGGACCCCCAAAGTGCAACTGACATCTGAAGTGAAGATAGTTTCACTGGGGACTGTGCTTTTAACTCTAGATGGTTAGCATTAGAATTAAATTGTATTTCTGTATACCAATTTGTGTTAGAAAAGATAAAGATCTCATAGAGTTGTAAGGGATAAATAAGAAAATACAAATATACAAAAAGCACCTAGGAATAATAATAGTGACTAGCTTAGAGGGCAGGAAGGATTAAATAAGATAAAATGCATAAGGCACTTGGCATAGTCACAGTAGTTGAAACTACTGTGACCTACACGCTGTGCTACTGATAGAACTCATAATTTCTAAATTTTTATTGTTGAGTAGTATTTGTGATATAAATGTTTTCTTTTACTGTGTATGAATTCCTAGCCTTAAAACTAAGCCATAAGATTGGTGGACTACCTGAGCTCAGGAGTTCAAGACCAGCCTGAGCAAGAGTGAGACCCCATCTCTAAAAATAGCTGGGCGTTGTGGCAGGTGCCTACAGTCCCAGCTACTTGTGAGATGGAGGCCAAGAGTTTGAGGTTGCTGTGAGCTATGACACCATGACATTCTACCAAGGGTGATGAAGTAAGACTCAAAAAACAAAAAAAAAACAAAAAAAACAAAAAAAGAAAGAAAGAAAGAAAAGAAAAGCAAGAAAAAAGATTGGTGTATATTGTTTTACAAGAAACACCACTTTCGGCTCGGTGCCTGTGGCTCAAGCGGCTAAGGCGCCAGCCACATACACCTAAGGTGCGGGTTCGAATCCCCAGCCCGGCCCACCAAAACAACAACGATGGCTGCAACCAAAAAACAGCCGGGCATTGTGGCAGGCACCTGTGGTCCCAGCTACTTGGGAGGCTGAGGCAGGAGACTTGCTTGAGCCCAGGAGTTGGAGGTTGCTGTGAGCTGTGATGCCACAGCACTCTACCCAGGGGGACAGCTTGAGGCTCCGTCTCAAAAAAAAAAACAAAAAACAAAAAACACCACTTTCTGTAAATGTTTTTACCATTTTACACTAACACCAAACACCTATGAGAGGTTGCAATAAAACCTTGCCAACACTTGTTGTCAGTCTTTTTCACTTTACTCAGATGAGTAATGGCATTTCGTTATGCCTTTTATTTAGATTTCCTTGACAATTGATGATGTTGAGTACAAAAAGAGGAAAAACAGAAATAATAAAGAGATAACAAAACAATAAAAGAATTAAGCTCTAACATACCAACGTTACATTAACTCTCAATGGTCTAGGTGCAGCAATAAGAAGACAGAGATTGGCAGTGTAAAAAAAAAAAAAAAAGCAGGACCCAACTATATGCTGTTTATAAGCAGCTCACTTTAAATACAGTCATGCTGACAGGCACAGTGGCTCATGCTTGTAATTCTAGGACTCTGGGAGGCCAAGGTAGGTGGATCCCTTGAGTTCAAGAGTTGGAGATCACCCTGAACAAAAATGAGACCCCATATACTAACAACAACAACAAAAAGAAATTACAAAAAATTAGCCAGGCATTGTGGCAGATGCCTGGAGTCTCAGCTACTTGGGAGGCTGAAGCAGGAGTATTACTTGGACCCAGGGGTTTGAAAGTTGCTGTGACCTAGGGTGATGTCACAGCACTCTAGCCTGGGCAAAGAGTGAGACTCTGTCTCAAATAAATAAATAAACAAACAACAAACGAAGAAAATATAGTTACACATCACTTAAATTATGGTGATACATTCTGAGAAATGTGTCACAATGAACACAATCTACGTAATCTCTTCCAGAAGAGAAGGCAAATACTTTCTAATTCATCTTATGAAGGGAGTATTATCCTTATATTAAAACCCGACAAAGAATACAAAAAAGAAAATTATAGATCAATACCTCTCATAAACTTAAGATGAAAAAATCCTCAACAAAGTATTAGCTAAATACAATAACATATAAAAAGAATTATATACCATGATCAAATGCGATTTGTTCCAACTATGCAAAGCTAGTCAACTCTAAAAAAAAATCAATGTGATCCATATATTAACAGGCTTAAGAAAAAAATCACATAATCCTATCAATAAGTACAGAAAAAGCTTTTGACAAATTTCAACATCCTTCACTATAAAAACTCTCAAAAATATAGGAATAGAGTTAACTTTCTCAACTTGATAAAAAGCATCTACAAAAAACCCTATAGGCTCGACGCCTATAGCTCAACCGGCTAAGGCGCCAGCCACGTACACCTAAGGTGGCGGGTTCGAATCCCCAGCCCGGACCCACCAAACAACAATGACGGCTGCAACCAAAAAATAGCCGGGCGTTGTGGCGGGCGCCTGTGGTCCCAGCTACTTGGGAGG